CCCGAGATTTAGTTATCAGGGTATTCTCAGAGGAGGTTCAGAGACCCTAGATACTTTAGCAATCCGTCGAATTGCTTTACTAGCTTACACCATAGACAGGAGTCTCATGTGGTAGCAGTCAAGACTGGGAGCTCGCGGCGATTTTGCTCTTCCAGGAGGGATGTCGGCCGTTATTTGCCTCTACCCTTGAGATCTGACCCATCACGAGTATTCAAAATTATGATTTCAGCTGCCGTTTCACGGGTGAGTCGAGACTTTTGAATTCCTTACTATACGCGATAGAACCTGATCATCTGTATAATACCAGAAAATATCAAGAAAATATGTACTTATCAATTCCCAACTTGACTCTCACTTGGATTAAACATGACAATAGGTCTGCTCTGATTTCATCATCATTTTAAAAAATCATCTATTATTTTTCACTTTATGTTTCTGTGTGGGAGCAAACTGTTGAAATCCATACTTAATGTATACTAAGCTGATCTTCTGTATATTAAGATAATCGAAAATGAATCTTGATGTGAATGGAAGGGGAGGGGGAGTGGGAAAGGGGAGGGTTGTGGGTGGGAGGGACGGTATGGGGGGAAAGCCATTGTAATCCATAAGTCGTACTTTGGAAATTTATATTCATTAAATAAAAGTTTAAAAAAAAAAAAAAAAAGATGTAGAGGAGGAAAGAAGGGTAGCTGAAATGTGATGTACCTACAAGGACAAACAATGCTAAAGACCAACCAGCCACATTATGGAAACCAGAGAGTCAAGGGCACATCTTGTAATGAACCTGCTCGGGAGTTGTGGAAATGACTGCCAGCTGTTCCTGACTGAAGACTACTCAAGGTGTGATGACTGAGAAAGTTCATATGGTACCAAAGGCACACGCTTAATCAGAGACATCACTTCTAGTCACATAAATCCACACACCCCAAAGGGAGGAGACTCATTGTAATGCATATGTCAGGAGGATGACTTTCACAGATGAAACAACTCTGGAGACTAAAACACACTACTGGTTCCGTGGCTGTCTGTGAAGGGAAGAGGTTAAGCGGATGATTATGCTTTTCTTTTGACAATGGGCATATTCCAGGGCATACAAAGATCATGGAAAAATTATGAAAACAATGCATGGATTTCAAAAGTCTTGCACTGAAATACTTACCTTTTTTTTTTTTTTTTTTTTTTTTTTTGACAGAATGGATAGTGAGAGAGAGAGACAGAGAGAAAGGTCTTCCTTTGCCGTTGGTTCACCCTCCAATGGCCGCCACAGCTGGCGCGCTGCGGCCGGTGCCCCACGCTGATCTGCTGGCAGGAGCCAGGTACTTATCCTGGTCTCCCATGGGGTGCAGGGCCCAACCACTTGGGCCATCCTCCACTGCACTCCCTGGCCACAGCAGAGAGCTGGCCTGGAAGAGGGGCAACCGGGACAGAATCCGGCGCCCTGACTGGGACTAGAACCCGGTGTGCTGGCACCGCTAGGTGGAAGATTAGCCTAGTGAGCCGTGGCGCCGGCCCAATACTTACCTTTTGATTTTTCCACAAGCGTTTTGAAGTACCCTCCCGTAGCATCTACAATGAGAATTATTGTGAAGGTGTACACCATGACAAGTACAAGGAACGAAAGTAATCTGGTTCTTTCTGTGACCTGCTCTGAAGATCAGTTCAGCTGCATTTCTGTTTAGCAAACAGTCAAAAAGCAGATACTCCAAAGAGCAATGGCAAAAGTCAGTGGAGAGACTTTCCTTAACTACCTAGTTATTTAAACCGGGAAACAAGTTCAAACTACATCTGATTCGTAGCAAAGAGCATTTACAACCTTAATTTCTTTAGAAGGTAATGAGGCCACACAAGATTTTGGGGGATGGGGGACTGTTCTTCCTGTCATTCTGGGTTTCTCAGAAACTATTTTCACTGAAGTGTGACCAGAACTTCCAGCAGAGTGAATGAGTCTGAAATGAACAATGAGGACTGAGGCCCCTTGTGGGATGGAATTGTGCTCCTGGTAATGCCCCACTATGCCACTGCTGTAGGAAGCCTCTGGGGAGGTTAGAAACCCCTCTTCCTCCACGCAGCGATCTTGTATCTTGCTTGAGAATGGCATTTTTCCCTTGTAAATCTTACCTGAACAACAAGTTGCCATACACGTTTATTGCGCATGCATTTATGTTCAGCTCATGACAGTATAAATAATCTATTTATGAATTTATGTCATGATGCCAAAATAGAGGTACAGTGGGTCCCTGACTGTTATTCTGAAACCTCTATTCTCTATATTTTATAGCACATAGGTCCTAAAGCTTGGTGTTAGCCTGACTTCTGAGGGAGGGAGCATGGTAAAAAAGGGAGGCAGGCTGGCTTTGCTTCTTTGACATGAAACAAAATAATCTATCACACACAAATACCTGCAACTTGGAATAGAGTGATAAGAATTTGATGTTTACTTTTAAAAACCTGGAAGTATGCATGTCTTCATAAATAAACTTTTAAAAATAATTCCATTAGTATTAGGAAATTAATAATTTTAGCATCTTTCCTTCTTAAGCCTCTGTCTTATCTACAAGAAGCATTTGGACTCAGTCCACTGTATTTTGTGAATCTTCACTCCAGCTAATTAATTAACCAAGCTTTAAAATTTCATCATAAGGATTGTTACGATTCACACTGTTATTTATTCCAGTGGCTTTATTTCAAATGGTAGTTTCTCAGTTGGAGAAGCAGTTCAAAGTCATTTTGAGCTCAGTTAAACTCATTGCTTTATAGAGCTGTGATTACTTTCCTGTCCTAATTAAATGGTCAGATCTCTCTCTTGCATCTTGTTTGTAAAGTCACATGCAATAAAGAGCAGTATTGTATTATGACCAAGGAGTATGATTTGATTTTGGCTGACCAGTATTGTATATAATATTTATTATCTGCAGTTGGCTTATGACATAGGATATACTTTCCGTGGCATGTAATGGAAAGGGATTAGCAAATGAAAAGGTCACATGCTTTGTCTTTGAGAGAATGTTTCATTTGAAATAGAAACCTGACAAACATACCATGTGCCGGTTACTATAGAGCTGAAAAAGCCCGTTCCAGCTGTTTACACTTGGGATGTAAAATGGCAATTTGACATAGACTGGCAGTGTGATGTGAGCATCTGCGTAAAAAGGCTACATATGGAGCATGCCCAGTGCCAGAGAGTACGTCCTCCTCGCCCTGGAGATCTCTAAAGATAAGGCTTGAACTTTGCACTTGCAAATATCACTGCATACGTTGTGGGGCTTTTTTTCCCCCTAGTTTTTATGTTGTTTTTTTTTTAAGGCTCTTTTACAACTAATTTCCTTTAACAATCCAGGAGCAGGGAAGAGACTACTTAAGGTAATAAGATGCATTAAGTTCAGGACGAGTTGCTGCTCCTCTGTGAATGCACTTGAAGTGTGCTTTATTTTGAAAGCAATATAGAGCATTGGAGTGTGTGTATTTCTCCCTGTGATGGGAAAATAAGAATCTCCTCGGCTGGGAGTCCACGGGGGCAGAAAGTGAAAGCCCCGGAGGCAGAAAGAGCCGGAGAAGAGGGACTTGTCCAGAGCATGGATAGGAGAGGAGCTGGGGTTCTCCAGGGCTCAGCGCGCACTGAGAATCTGTGCCCAGGGCTGCAGCTGCGGACGACACAGGCGCTGTCTGGCTAATGAAGGCCACCTGGATCAGGCTTCTGAAAAGAGCCAAGGGAGGACGGCTGAAGAATTCTGATATCTGTGTAAGCGGAAAGGCTTTCATCTGGGGGAGGGGGGAGAACGTTTTCTTTGCTTTTCTGTTGTTAACAGAGAGTGCAGGCAGAGAGGGTGGTTTGACTGAGTTAATGTGATCATGACTGCGAGAGAGGGAACCAGGGAGATTCCTACCGTTTTTCTGAGCTCTTTTTCCTACATTGTGATTTATTGCTAGACGAGATATCCCAGGCAGGTGTTTTCTGTAGGCAGCGTTTATTAAATATCTATGGAAAGGTATTTAAAATATGTTGCTGAAAGATGGAGTGAGGATTCTGGTGTCTTACAGTTTCCTCGGAGAAGGTAGCAGGTGTATAAAAAGGTATGCGAGAATTCTTCACATTATTGTGGGAATCTTCTCAGGGTAGTGGCGTTTTGGAGAGTAGTTAAAGTTTATAACTCATTGGACTTTCTCCTTTTTATATATATATTTTGAGGCTGAATGTCTTTCTAGTTGTAAATACTTGCTCTAGCATGTAGATTGTTCTTGAAGCTATCCTTGAAACCCATCAGTGCCCTTCAGCTCTGCACTGCACCACCGAGCTGCTTTAATTATAATGGCCCTTGCTCTGGCTTCCAGAAGAGGTAGTTTTGGGAATGCAAGTCTTGGGAAGGAATGGTAACCTGGCACATACGACCACCCTAGGGAATGGTCTGCACACCAAAGCGTGATTTTGTAGATCGGTTGCTGCAAAATGGACTGTTTGTTCCTCTTCTCAGGAACATATAGCACAATGCAGGAAGCGAACTGCCCTGTGGATGGGACAGCCCTCCCAGGTTGACTCTGTTTTACAGTGCACCTTGTCCTCTGCAGGGTTCGGCAGACTCCTACACCAGCCGTCCATCCGATTCAGATGTGTCTCTGGAGGAGGACCGGGAGGCAGTGCGCAGAGAAGCTGAGCGACAGGCCCAGGCCCAGTTGGAAAAAGCAAAGGTAAAGCCATTTCTTTGCAAGTTGTGCTGTGCCTGTGATGGACAACCTGTAGAAGTTTCTCCTACAGCTTACGTTTGGTCTATGAAAGTATTGGATTTTGTGCTTTACAGGGGTGCGGGAAAATACAGCATCTTTCTTTCACTTGGTAGAAAAAATGAAATGTAGTATGTAAGAATCATCTTTATTTCTGTGCTGTTTTATAGTCTGACAAGCAACTTGTTTTCATTTAATTTAGACAACACAAAAGGATTCCCAAATGTGTGAAGGAAAACTGCATCTGATATTATAATTGTTTACTTCATTTTTTCCGGTAAACAATATCTCTGTTTACCAAAACAGCTTTCTCCAAGATAATGTGTGTTTTCCAAGAGTACAGTAGTCACTCCCCTGTATTATACTCTAGATGTTTTATAATAGTCTCTTCTTATATTTAAAAATGGGTTGTATTTTGCTTTCCAAAAATAAGGCAAAGGATTTTATTTTTTTAAAAAGTTTCTTTTCCCTTGGAGCACTCTGTTCTTCATCCCATCCCCGTGATGTGTGCATAGTATAGATGAGAGAAGGAAGATCCAACGTGAAACACACAGTTACAGAATGTATCTCAGGCTGTGTTGTATTTCACTGCTTGTTGTAATGATTTGAATTCCTTCTCCTGTGCAGTCATTTGAACAGCAGCTCTTTCTAAAGCTTAGGTTGTTGTCCAGGCTTTGGGTTCCTTGGTTTGTTTGATGCTCAGTAACTTCTGAGTGATAGTATTTTAACACAATTGTTGGTTCTCTTTCGAAAAAATTACTGCTTTGAAAAGAGTAAGTACTATGTTGATCTTGCTAGAAAAATCAGGGTGGCATTACAATGCCTCTGCCGGCTGCTTCATCTGTGAGATGAGTAAAATCTATGTGTGTTGCTATGGGAATCATGGCTTGAAGATTCTGGTTTGAATGCATGGGCAGCCCTTATGTAATATTCATAACCTCTAGCCCAGCTGCCATCGTGGTTCACTGAGGAACTGCCAGGAGACTGTGACTTCCAAACAGCATTATTTCTGTATATCCAAAACAATGCTCTCACCTCACCTGGCAGGGAAACCGTCTGTAGGTCTGACAGCCTTAACTGCAAGACGGCTTGTAGACAGCAGGAGCAGGGGCAGGAGGTGTGACAGTAGGAAGGGAAAAAGCAAGGTGTGGCCCAGTTGTCATCAACTGATGGGCTCTACCACAGTTAGTCCTTTACAGCATTAGGAGGCTGAAACGTGAGGGACAATAAAGAGTGAATGTATGACTAATAAAGTTAGTTGCCACTATAGGTTTGCATCATACTTAATAGATGTTACAATTAAGAATGTGAATTCTGCATTCTATATTTTGTACCTGGATGTAAAAAAAAAAAAAAAAAAGACTCAAGAAAAACAAATAACAGTTTGTATTCCAGAAATAAGATTGTTCTATTTGTAGCTAATTTATTCAAGTAATTTTCACACACCAAAATTAAACAGTTTCTCAGATTCATATCCCATCATCATATAATGCAATGTATTATAGCTTCATTTTTCCTAGTCTTTAGTTATCTAATTTGGAGCCTTTTTGTCCATAAATGGGTGCTATAAAGAAATGAGTTAAAGCTACACAGCTGCAGATGTTGGTTCTAAATCCAACTTGGTTCATCTTCCTTGGCCTACGGGCCTGAAAAGTTCATAGTTACAAAATGTGTGGAAGACAACAGAAAGAATTTAAGACAAAGGCAAAATAATGGAAGAACTGTTGCCTGTGCCTAATGAATACAGTTTATTTACATCCATTTTTCATCTTTAAAATCAGGTCATTACCTTCAATCTCCTATGTATTCAATGAGTCACACTAGAGTGAGAATTTGAATAGGTTCTGAAAGCAGAGAAGGAGTAGGGTTTAAGGTTATGTTAAAATTGTGATTTGGTTTGTCTGGTTTGTTACCTCCAATATCCTTGGAGAAAGAAGGCAGAAGAAGGATGGTGGATGGCTAGCTCTTGAGATTATTTTTATCCGATCCCATTGGTCAGTGTATCATCATGCCTTGTTGGGGCCCATTTGAAAATGAAGTCTTAAAAATACATGAATTTTGTTCATGAGGACTGCGCATCTGTTTTCAAAGGATCATATGTTTTCTACATTTGTTTTGTAAGCATCATAGCATCCCTCAAATAGAAAGGCTTCACAAGTCAGTGCGGTAACTCTCCCACACCAGATCCCAGGGGAAAATCTGCAGACACCTGCCATCGCCCCCTGCGGTGCACTCAGGTCCTGGTCGTGTATAAATATGAGCTACATTAGCCATTAATTGTCTTAATAATAGCTCTGCGAAATAAGGTAATTGGCAAGCAGTGAACGTGGAGACACTGCCTTTTGAAATTAAATGACCTACAAAAGGTTATGTAATGAGGCACTCTGCGCTGCCAGTAAAACCCAGTGCCCCTCACTGCCACTTTGTTGATGGCTTCTCTCACACTGGCAGACTCTGCAGTGAACAGATTGTATGTTAACTTTGAAGCAAACAAGTATCGATCATGGATGAAGCCTTGTTTTTTAACTGTATGTTTTCTTATCACACGCATGTGTTCTGATCTGGTTCAACTTTGGCCTACTTTGCAAATCTTCCTTCATTTAAATTGGTTCTCTCTGATATTGCTTTAAATACAAGCTATTTGCAAATTTACCTTATTTGTGCATTGATCATTTCATTAAAGACAATTTTATTGAGGCGTAATTCACCTGTTTGAATTTGTAGTTCAGTGGCTTTTAGTACATTGAGAGTTGTACAACCATCACTATAATCATTCTTAGAACAGTTTGATTGCCCTGAAAAGAAATCCCAAGCCCATTAGCAGTCATTCCGCATTCTCCTCAAATACCTTAACCTGGAAAATCACTATTCAACTTTCTGTCCCTGTAGATTTGTCTGTTCTGGATATTGCATATAAATGGACTCTTACAGTGGGTAGTTTTTTTTGTGTGTGTGTGACAGGCTACGTTCTCTTGCATAATGCTTTCAGTGTTCACCTCTGCTGTAGTATATGCCATTCTTCATATTATCAAGTGATATTCCATTATGTGTACAAGGGTACTTCAAAACAGTTAGTTCAGGTATGGGCATTTTGAATAGCTGTTACGACTCTCCTTGGGACACCCACCGTACCCTATCAGAGTGCCTGAGTTCGAGTCCTGTCTCTGCTCTTGATTCCAGCTTCCTGCTAATGTCTGGGAGGCAGTGCTGATGGCTCAGGTATTTGAGTCCCTGCCACCCATGTGGGAGACCCAGCTTGAGTTTCTGACTCCTGGCTTAAGCCAGGCTCAGCCTCAGTTGTTGCGGCCACTTTGGAAAAATGAACCAGTAAATGGGAGATTGATCTCTCTCCTTCTCTCCCTCTCTCTCTCTCTCCCTTTGTCTATCTGCTTTTCAAAAATACGTAAAAATTTTTGAAAAGATGTTTGTTTTGTTACGGAAACTTTGTTAAACCCGTGCACAGTACACATTTTTCCATGAACTTTCTGGAAACCCCCCATATAGACCACATGATTTATCAATTGGTGGACATTTGGGTTTCTCTTTCAGGTATTGTGAATAATACTGTTAGGAACATTCATGCAAAAGTTTTTACACGAGTCTGTATTTTCTACACACACACACGTACACACAACCCTAGGAGTGAAGTTGCTGGCTCATATGATCATCTTCTTTTAACTGACAGAAAATTTTCTTCTTCTATCCCTTACTCTTCAGAAATGATGCCTTCTGCCCTGGAGACAGAGACTCCGAGTTGGGAAATCTATGCATGTTTGGGTTTGGAGTAGAGATCAAGTAGATTCAGGGCATACCTGTTGGTTGAATGGATTAACCTTCAATTCTGAGTCCATTGTTCTTTCATCATTGTGTTAAATCATACTGGGCACTGTGGGTGTATAGGTGGGATTGCAAGGCCACAGCCACAAAGACAAACCAGGCATGTGTTTGGCCTGACTCAGCTTCTGTTGTTTGTTAAAGAGGAAAGCCATGGTAATAAAAGGTAGGCCAGAAGTACTCTTGGAGAATAGAGAGGTCTGTGAGCATCTGGAGACAAAGACTGTATCCTGCTGGCAGGCACAGGAAACCTTCCTGAGGAGCCAGTGATTTAACTCACAGGTAGACAGATGATGTTAAGCCCTTGGTGTAGAAAGTGTGGAGTGGAGAATGGGGAAGTGCCTGCCCCCTAGGCCCTGGGAGCACTCTGTATATAAAGTCTTGTCATAAGAAAATGTAGACCCTTCCAGAGAAAGGCTAAATGTTTTTTATCATGTTAGCTTGAAAATATATATTTACTCCATAGTTTAGAGGTGAGCATTTAGCCTCATGGTTCAGACACCAGTTAAGATACCCATTTCTCCCATCACAGTACCTGGGTTTGATTACCAGCCCTGCCTCCTTACTGCAGACCCTGGGAAGCAGTGGTAATGGCTGAAGTACTTGGGTTCTTGCCACCCATGTGAGAGACCTGGATTGAGTTCCTGGCTCCTGGATATAGCCCAGCCCAGCTCGATGATGGCTGTTTCAGGCATCTGGGGAGTGACCCACAGATGGAGTCTGTCTCTAGCTCCCTCTCTCCCTTTCTCATCTCCCTCTTTCCTCTTCTCCTCCCCCCTGTGCTCCTTCCCTCTTTCTGTCTCTCTGCCTCTCAAATAATAAAAAGTTTTAAATTTATAGATATATTAGTAGTTTAGCTGGGTATAGTATTCACAAATGGAAAACAGGAATGGGTGTTTAGCCTAGTGGTTAAAATGCCTCTACTTCCCATCAGAGTGCCTGGGTTTGATACCTGCCTCCAGCTTCCTGCCAATGGAGACCCAGAGAGGTAGTACCGATGACTCAGGGACTTGGGTTCCTGTCACTCATGTGGGAAACCTGGATTGCATCCCTGGCTCCTGGCTCCAACCTCAGCTCTGCCCCGGCAGTGCAGGTACTTAGGAAGGGAATCCACAATGAGAGAGCTAGTATTT